GGGGGGGGGCATTGGGGGAGGGCAATTGAGGCTTTCAGAGTCAATGCGTCAATGCTGGGCACTGAAGGAGGCCTCGGCGTAAGTCTCTGAAACAGCTCTTTGAGAGCGCGACGACCAGAGTTCATGCGGGGAAGTCGGAGGCAGGCAGCCAAGCGAGCACTGCGCGAGTTTGCGCTCGGTAAGAGCGTTTCCGCCGGAGCGGTCCTGGCAAGGCGTTGCGTGCTCGACGTGGATCCACTCCGAGGCATCGATAAGATGGACAATGGCGCTTATCTCTAACCTGTCGAGTGCGACAAATGAACGAAGGCGAAATTGCGATCGAAGACGGTCTGGAAGCTGCGGCTGGAGATCTAGGCGAGGCCACTGCGTGCATCGGCAAACCCTTCGTGGAGCCGACTCGAGCATCGTTCGGCATGTAGGCTAGTCTCATGCATGTCGAATGACGGCATCGCCTCCAGCAGTCGACGCGCAGCCCAGCAGAGGTGCGGCTTTGTGGCCACGAAATTCAGTGGAATTCCACGACGACTCTACCGACGGCCGAACAATCGAATCGATGTCGATTGCCGACAGAACATCGGACTGCGTTCCTTGGCTTCTGGAAGCAAGCTGTCCAACACTGCGATCCAGCAGGGCTCCATGCCCAATTTCTCGCTTTCACCGCGACACGCACCGCCCCAACCAACCCGCCGTCGGCCCCCGATCTGATAACGCTCCTCGGCCCCCGTTGTGTCCGGTGCCTGACCGTCCGCATCAGGGCTTGCCCCGTGCAGCCATGAAAGGAGCCGGATCGGATCGTGTCCTTGTTCGTCTCACCGACGGCCTGGCTTTTGGGACGGCGCCGGCGCCACCATGAGCACCAGGCACGGGCATGTCGATCTACAGTGCGTGTCGCTTTGCACCGTGTCCATTTTTGACCACGTCCCCTCCATCGTATGAATCTGATCCGACCGCACTCGGATTGGTACAGGATACGTCCATGTCGAGCAGCCCGAGCGTACAGTCCGCCACAGCCTCTCTCCGGTCCGATCATAGCCTCGAGGCGCGTGCGGATCACGCAAACCACATGGAAAAGCAAGCTGAGTCGCCCGCCGCGGCGGCGACCAAGCAGGAGGAGGATGTCAATCACAAGGCGTTTCTTGTCGACTGGGATGGGACGGACGACCCGGAGAATCCGCTCAACTGGAGCACGGCGCGCAAGCATGGGATCACGCTGACGCTCTCGTTTGCGGTTGTGGTGGTGACGTTTGCGTCGTCCGTTTACTCGTCGGCGTCGAGCGCGGTGGCAAAGCAGTTCGGCGTTCCGGGCAAGGTGGGCAAGCTGGGCATCACGCTCTTCCTGTGCGGCTATGCGATCGGCCCGCTGGCGTGGGGCCCGCTCTCGGAGCGCCAGGGACGCAAGCCGCCCATGCTCATCTCGTACCTCGGCTTTGTGCTCTTCTCGCTCGCCACCGCCACCGCCAAGGATCTGCAGATGCTCATCTGCCGCTTCTTTGGTGGCGTGTTTGGATGCGGCCCGCTCTCGATCGCCGGAGGCGCCATGGCCGACTACAGCTCGCTCGAACAGCGCGGCATCGCCATCGCCATCTACTCGTTCGCCACGTTCGCCGGGCCGACGTTCGGTCCAATCCTCGGCAGCTTTATCGTCGAATCGCACCTCAGCTGGCGATGGACAGAGTACCTCACCGCCATCGTGGGATTTGCCTTTCTGCTCGTGCTGCTCGTCGCGCTGCCAGAGACGTACGCCAAGCGCATCCTCCAGAAGAGGGCCGAGCGCCGCCGCCTCGAGACGCGCCAGTGGGCTTGGCATGCGCAGCTCGACGAGGAGGCGTTCGACGCGCGCGTCGTCGTCACAAAGTTCCTCACGCGGCCGATCGTCATGCTGGTGATCGAGCCGATGATCCTTCTGCTCTCCATCTACGTCGCGTTCATCTACGGCATCCTCTACCTGCTCTTCGGCAGCCTGCCCGTGCACTACGTCGAGGTGCGCGGCTGGAGCGAGGGCGTAGGCTCGCTGCCGTTCCTCGCGCTGCTCATCGGGTGCGGTCTCGGTTGCCTTGTCATGGTCGGCTTCAATCCGCGATACGTGCACATGTGCAAGCTCAACAACTGCCAGCCCGTACCCGAGGAGCGGCTGCTGCCTATGATCGTCGGCGCCGTCGTCTTTCCCGTGGGCTGCATGTGGTACGCCTGGACCACGTACGCCTCGGTGCATTGGATCGTTCCCACCCTTGCCCTCGTCCCCATCGGCTGCGGCATTATTCTTCTCTTCCTTCAGGCGCTCAACTACCTCATCGACGCCTACCTCGCCTACGCAAATTCGGCACTCGCCGCCAACTCGCTCCTCCGCTCCCTCTTTGGTGCAGGTTTCCCGTTGTTTGGAACCCAAATGATGGTCAACCTCGGACTGCAGTGGGCCAACACGGTGATCGGCCTTATCGGCGTTGCGCTCCTCCCCATCCCCATCCTGTTTTACATCTACGGCAAGCGGCTGCGTCGCTCGAGCAAGTTTGCCACCTGATCCTCCTTTCCTGCCTCGATCGCACATCTCTCTGCACGCCTCGAAAGTGTTCATAACCTCAACAATCTTAATTCTGCCATTTTTTGTTCCTTGTAGCGATGATCTGGCGCAAGATCGTTGTCCACTCCTTACCTCATCACTTGCTAGAGGGAATCGCCGAGTTAGCATCGCGTATAACATGGATACTACGGCAGCTTCGTCCGCGCCACACACGCCATAAGAAACGTGGGATCAGGGTGCAGTGGCGGTGGCCCATTTGAGTTCGAGCTTGTGCGCTCTCGGGTTGCCGACAAAGGGGCCGATGTACTCCATGTCGTGCTCGGACGTCTTGACGGGAGGATCGGTGGCTTGCGAATCAGGGTTGACGCCCGGCTGGAGGCAGCGGAAGACGCTTGCGCAGGTGAGGTGGAGGACGAGCGTGGCGAGGTTGCGGCCGATGCAGCCGCGGGGGCCGTTGGAGAAGGTGGTGATGCTCGACGCCATGTCGGCGTACCTTGCCGAGCGGAGCGCTTCGCGACCGGGCGCGTCCTTGAGGTAGTCATCGGAGGGCTGCTGCTGCGCCTCGATCCAGCGTTCTGGACGAAATACCTCTGAATCATCGCCCCACAGAGCGCGGTCCCAGCGGCCTTGGACCCACGAGCTGCAGGTGATCTCTGTGCCGCCGGGGAGGAAGACGCCGTATTCGAGGTGCAAGCCTTCGGGCGGCACGGTGCGCGGGAAGGGGCGCACGCCCGCCGGGTAGAAGCGGAACGTCTCCTTGAGGAGCGCGTTGAAGAACGCCAGCTTGACCACGGCCCTCTCCTCGGGCACAGCGTTTTCGACGTCGCGCACGAACGCCTCCTGGTCCGGGATCACCTCGGCGAGCTCGTCGCGCAGGCGCTCATACCAGTGCGCGTGCGTGGCCAGCTGGAACGTCAGGTATGTCAGCGCCGCCGCCGTCGTCTCGACGCCCGCCACGACGAGCCCTCGCGACTCGCCCACCAGCGTCTGCTTGTCCATCCCCTCACCCGTCACCGGATCGCGCGCGTGGATCAGCTTGTGCAGGATCTCGCGCGGATCGTCCCGCCTGGTCGCCAAGAACTCGTCAATGTAGCCCGTCATGAGCGCGTTCAGGTCGCGGATGCCTTCCAGGTCGGTGCGCAGCCGGCCGGCGGGCAGCAGCCGCACGAGGTGCAGCCCCAACGGCACACGACGCAGCCACTGGTACAGGAACAGCGACTGCGGCAGCGACCCCGTGCGGCTCCGAATCCCCAGAAGCAGCTCGTTCAGCCGAGCTGCCAGCCAAGAATACACAGGAAAGAACGAGCGGTCAGCGAAAAGAACGCAGTTGAGGCTGTAACGTTTCAGTGTCACTGCGCGGAAGACGGTGAGGGAGGGAGGGAACGTACCGTTTTCGACCATGTGGTCGTCGCGACCAAAGGCAAACTTGGAGATGATGTCGCCGGTAAACTGCTGGTATGCGGCAAACACGTCTTCGTACGCACCTCCCTCCGCGGCCCTGCCGAACCTGTGGACGAGCGCTGCGATGCGGTTTGCGATGAATCCGCGGAACTCGGT